ATATAGACTCTGCCAACAGTTAAATTCAAGAGGAAAGAGCTGGAATTTCCTTGACACCAAGGGAGTTTCTCTCAATCACGATACCACTGATCTTTCCAAATGGCTCTGAACATATTTGTTGAAGCATGAGCTATCTTCTTTCAAAAGCATTTCTGCCTACCAAGAGATAAAATGCTGTTGGAGCCCTCTGCGAGTTTCTGTTGTGTGCCTTTTTTTAAGGTGACTAATTCCCTGGGAATTTGGGGGAGGAYTTGAAGTTGATATCTTTATGGTAAATACCACATAAATACCTTCTCTTCCTGAAGCGCCTCACTTCCTTTTACTACCCTCTCTTGGATAGACAGAGGATCAAATCCTTCCCTCATTTAGCCTAGATAATATATGACAATATATGACAGAAACCTACCTGATCACTACTCAAAATGTTTGAAACAGGCCTATAATTAGAATGAACTTATACACTAGAACTGTTCTAATAGGCATGTAAAGTTCCTTTTTAATAACTTTTTTTTTTCTAATTAACCAGAACTGAATAAATCTCTAAATGCTAAATTAGTTAGAAGTGACGTGCACCTTATGTTTGTTATATATGTCCTATATGAGGCCATTTTTTTAAATGGCTGGGAAGTGCATCACTTGCAGAGGTCTCCCTGGAACTGAGGATTAGTACTGTATTCTGCAGCATGAGGCATTCAAATGCATCCCCCACAAGACAGCAGAGAGCACTGACTAATCTTCTGGGGTGATGCAGGCAGTTTTGTAAAAGGAGGGCAAAGGAGACTATTACAATTGTATTAAAGAATTCAGACAAGAATTCAAGGATTAAGTRAAATCATCAAGAGCAAAACAAAAACCAGTTTAATGTAGATGAATGTCAACACTGAAGAAGAAAAAGGAAGTGAAGCTTAACTGGTGATCCATATATATATAACAAATTAAAAATGAGGGAAGGTTTTGAATGTGAATTGTTGGGAACAAAACTGAAATTGAAACCTAAGGCTGTAGTGACTAAAAGGGAGGCAGGGAAGTGCCTGCAGCTGGCTGCTTGCTAACAGGAGCTGCAGCAGATGTGATTGCCATTAGCTCTGAAAGCCCCGTTGCACTAAACCCTGCATATGTTCTCCCAGGGATGGCCCCAGTCATCTAAAATATGATTATTTTGGAAAGGGAATACTTTAGAAAAAGGCAGGACAGCGTAGGGGAGAGAAACCTGACGTCCCATTGACACAAACCCCGTGCTCAACCCTTGGCTTGTGGATGGTCCTTCTGCAGCTCTGAATAGGCAGTGCTGTGTTTCACAGGAGCTGCGAAGATCCTGTATGTGAAAGTCAACAAAACTGGTCAAGGACACAGCTGCAAGATTTAATGGCTTTACTTATTTCTACAGAATCAAAGCCAAGCGAGCAAAAAAGAAGCTGCTGGTGACAAATGGTGAGGACAAGGAAAGCAGTCTGAAAGATTTCCAAATAATGGCTMGCATTGTAACTCTTGAGGGCCACATACACAAAAAGAGACAAAATGGTTACAAAAGCAGACATCATAAAATATTAGGACCTAGAAAAATGGAAGTAAGGAGAATTTCATAATTCGGCCCCAAAACTTAACTGCAGAGCTACCAGGGCTGGATGTGATCTCCGAAAATCAAGGGAAAGGGCTTCCAGAGTGATGAAGGGATAACAAAYTGTAAAAGAGGTGGCAGCAACTATGGTGTGGTATAAATCACAAACAGAAAAGAAGCAGTATCATCTAATGCTGAAGAGAGCTGATGAAGAAAAAGAATGAAATGTGGGAAACTGGTATGAGGCAAGGAGATCTCAAGAAATGTACCTGGCCACCAGTGACACAGGAATAGAGGACTCAGTAATAAAACTAATCAGTGCTACATACCAGCAGAAAAACTTTACAGTAGACGTTGTAGAAGAGTGACAGAAACTGTCAGCATCTGTTACTCTCCTCACCTCACCATCAGTTATATAAAACTAGCTCTAAACACACAGCATGCTGAAATAATTGCTGAATTAAGGAACTGAATTTCAAAAGAAACTAATATGTATTTTGATTTTTTTTTTTATTACCGTGCTCAAACTATGTGGAGAAATGCTAAGGTAAATTTTACTTCGGCTGGTTTGGCTGCCCTTGCCTCAAGCAACCAAACTGGTTCTGAGCAGCTGACAGTTGGGACCTTGCTCCCGGAGCACAGAACAGCATTTAGGATCAGGTGTTAGAGTAGCAAGTTAAAAGCAAGAAGCCAGATGGTTTCGTTTCGAGACRAGCTATAATAAGTTCAGGTAATTATGCCTCCCATTTTAGATTCACTCTCRCAACGTGTAACTAAGATAATGTAAAACTTGAGTTTGAAGTGAATATAGTTCACTATTTAATAGTGTAGAGCAAAGGAATTTTTAGAGCTGATGGGTCCGTGAGGCTCAAATGAAAACTGCAGCATATTCAGCCACCATATGACCATATGCAAAATCTCTGCAGGCTACTGGAAGCAAGGAAACAGGTAGTTTTTAGGAAATACCTTGTCTTTATGTTGTGCTCTACGTTGTGGCTGGCCGTTTGCTCTGTCGGCTGCCTGACAAGGACTGCTTGTTTGCAGGGGGTGCTCAGCCCTAGGGGTGCTGCCCGAGCCCCCGCGGGAGGTAACAGTCGCTTGGGACCTTGGGGCCCGTTTGAGACCAGGATGTTTTTGTGCCGGGCTCCCAGTGGGCAGGGGAGCCCACGCTGTGCTGAGTAACACCTCTGAATAACAGGGATTAAGTGGATAAATAAAGGGACTGAATGTGTGTGGAAGAATTAGCTGTGCTCACTCAGGACACTGAGCTTTCAAATCAAGGTTGTGGTGTGTGGCAGGAGCACAGGCTTTGATTCTTCCCGTTTCTTCTCTTTCTTTTTAGTCCTATGAAGAAGTCTTTAGGGAGCAATTTTAAGCGAGATGTTTCTAGGGAAGCAGCCTTCAAATGCACTGCCTTTATCTGAGGAATAAAACAGGGCTTTTAGGGCAGCGAAGTAGTGCAGAAATACCGGAATAAAAACACCTCTCTTTTCTCCTGCTGCCTAATTTGGACACCCCACCTGCATGTTCAGCGAGGAGGGGGAATTATGGACCTGCTTCTTGAGGATGCCTATGGGGCATCTGAGAAACAGCCCTGTAATGTGAGGTCAGATACTAATTATTACGCCAATTCTGGGATGTGTCTCATATGACAGTGAATTTGTGGATGGCGGTTTTTTTCATGGTTTATACCTGGTAAATACCTGTTTTGTTTTCCTAGGTTGAGATCTGGAGTCTTCTTAACAGATAGTCCTTGCGAATACATTGGTTTATGAGTTTTCAATGATAAACSTGGTGGTGGCCAGTGACAGGACAAGGGATGATGGTTGTATGTTCAACCACAGGCAGYTCCATCTCCATGTGAGGAGGAACTTCTTCACTGTGCGGGTGCCAGAGCCCTGGCACAGGCTGCCCAGGGAGGCTGTGGAGTCTCCTTCTCTGGAGATCTTCCAAACCCGCCTGGATGCCGCCCTGTGCCCCRTGCTCTGGGTGTCCCTGCTGGAGCAGGGGGTTGGACTAGAGGATCTCTGGAGGTCCCTTCCAACCTCAACCATCCTGTGGTTCTGTGAAACAGGTGGCACTAAGTTCCTTCCTATTTTTCTTGACTGAGGGTTCTTGTTTGATCATTAAATAAAACTTGGCTTATTCTCAAAACAGCACAGATWATATCAAAAAGGATTATGAAGCCAAAGGGTAGCACCTTTAACCTCTCCATGCAACAGTAGCTATCTGAGTGTCTGTTTAAAAAGACAAAGAAAGACCCAAGCCTGTGAGCACAAAGCTGGCATTCTGTTCCTATGGGATGGTTCCTGTTGGGTCSCAAGTTCTCTTCTTCTGTCACTTTCATCATTTTTCTGAATAAAATTATACAAGCTATTAAGCCATAAGCATCATAGACGTTATCCTAAATGAAATTAGATGAATAGATTGCTTAGTTCCGCTATTCAAACAAAAAATGTATTGCTCCTATCGCATTTACTGCCAGCATTTGAAAAGTGAAGGTGGGAGAGGGTAGAAAAATAAGGAATTTCTGCCTTGAGCATTCTTCAAAATGAAGAACAAATTTGAAACAGCCTCTAAGAAAATCCACAGGTTAAATAGACAAAAAGTTAGAAGTTCAGTGATCAAAATGGGAGCCATAAAACTGAACCAGAAGTAGGAGGAGAGCATCAGATGGTAGTTCAACCAGAACCAGAAAAGGGGAGGTGGGAAACTCTTCATTATCTTGATTCTCTAAAGCAGGTTGTGGTGAGCACGTTTGTGCAGAACTTCTTGACCGTGGGTCCCGACCCACCCTCCCAATGTCAGGCAGTGCAATCAGGATGCTGCGAGGCGGTGAAAATTTAGTGGCAAGTGTCTCTCCTCCTCCTCCTCCTCTCCACACACCCTTGCTCGTCAAGGTCAGGGGACTTCCATCAGCCTCTCTCAGCTCTCCCCGATGATGCAGATTTATGGTCATTGATAATGCTTTAACTAACTGCTTTGTGATAAATGGTCAGTCTGGCCTGAACGAGAAACTTCAGCCTGGAAAAAAAAAGATCAAAACTGCTAGTCTAGCTCTGAGGCCATTATATTTAGTGATAGAGCACATGCATCATACAGATCAGCCAAAAGCAGCCTGTGCTGGTGCTGGCTGTGACTGTATGTAGATGTTCATGAGGGATGAAAATTTAGTTTTTCATTAGGAATGTATTTTGTACGTGGTTGTTTCTATAACGTTATTTCTGCCTTAGACAAGTTTTGTGGGTATTGTATTTATTATTTCTGCTTCAATTTCTGCTTTTGAAAATAAGTTATATTTTTCCCGTACTAGGATACYGACATTCAAATCATGCTGCAGATACAGAGCCATTTTTAGTAGGTATTCAATCTAGTTTATTTATAAAACTCATACAAATTTGCTGATGCATTAAATACAACTGACACATTCTTAAATGAATTGTATAAACTGTAGCTAAATATAACAGTTCTTATAAAAATATAATTTAAATCTTATACTTCAATCAAGGCAGGAAAACATTCTAATTACATTGTATATCCAGGAAGTTTGCTTATTAGAAGTTCACTGATGTCTTTATAGATGCCTAGTGTTCCTAGAAAATCATCATCTGYGTCTGACGTACTGTTTTCCAGGGCATTAAGTTCAAGATCTGAAGGGCCAGACGGCAAATAGGAGCTAACTGGAGTTAACGACTGGCTTTTCTCTCTAGCAGTTTGCCCCTTTCCTACATTCAGATCTGTGTGGGAGCTAACTTTGTTTCTCACTATRGATGTTCCTTCAGGGTGTTGATCAACTCCGTTGTTGTCCTTATCGATCAGGGCTGCCTGCTCTTCAGGTAATAATCTTGCCTGAAAGGAGGTATCATTAAGTAAGTCAACAGCTTTGCCACCAGTTCTCTTGCTGGTTTTCACATCATGGTTTCTCTTGAGAGAGGGGGCTGGAGATGAAGTAGAAGGAACCGGCTGAAGAGCGGAGGTTCTGCCGGCTCCTCCACTTGTCTCTGGAAGCCTGGGCCCCCTGGATTCAGGCTCCGAGCGTGGATATGCCAGACGGGTGCTCGTGAGCGCAAGAGGCCCAGGACTGCTGTGGCAGGTCTCTAAGCCTGGCCCTGGGTGGGCAGCACTGCCCATGCCCGCCGAACGCACCGTGTCCTCAGGGCTGCCAACAAAGTCTTCCGAATACAGGAGCTCAGAGAGGCTTTCAGTGCTCCCACGAGGGCAGGGCGTTGACGTGTGGTCACTCAGCACAGCAGCATTCTGCCCGCTTCGTCCCGCACGGGGATGTGACGTGACGGGCGCCCGGCGCTGGGCGCTCGCGGCCTGTCCCCTGCGAGCGGCGCCTGCGGGTTCCACACGCAGCCCTGCCCCACACGCTGCTCTGCACGGGCGCCGAGCTGCCCCTCGCTGCAGGCCGGGGCCCGCAGGGCTCCCCAACGCAGCCGCCCCGCGCGGCTCCTTCTGCTTTGACCCACGCGCTCTGCCGCGGCGCCCGCAGGAGGCCGGGTGCCCTGCTCCAGCACGTGTGACCGACATTGGCTTCGGGGGGCTCCTCTCCTTGGGCCCCTCCGCCTGCTTCTCTCTGCGCCGCTCCCTGCCTTCGTGCGCGGCCAGCGCGGCGGGGTCGCTCCGCTGCAGCCGCAGCGTGTTCCGCAGCCGCCGCCGGGCAGGTGCCCCCGCGCCGCTCCTGCTTGCCTGCCTCCCC